TAAATGTTGTAGAAATAATTTGTTCTAATTAAGTCAATGACAGAGATCTGGTTAGCTTATCTTTAAAATTAGGCTGTTGGTGTAGAAACTGCTAGTTAATTGACCACCAGTATTGACTCTTCTTGATTGTAAGTGGAATTCCAACCTTTTAGTTACTACATAGCTGTTCAAGTAGTCTGCATTTCCTAGCCACTTCCTTCATAGTTCTAGCCAATGAAATGTAAGTGGAAGTGATACGTAAGACTTCTGGATCATGCCCTTAAAGTACACACAGGCTCCCCCAAAATGTTCAGAATTGCTGTCAGGGAAATGCAAATCAAGACTGCAGTGACATTACATCTGTTAGAAATGGCTATTAACAAATAAATAGGGGAAAGATAGTAAGCATTGACAAGGCTATGGAGAAAAGAAGCCTTGCATACTGTTGGTAGGCTGCAAATTAGTATAGCCATTATGGAAAGCTATGATAGAAATCCCTTCAAAACTTAAGAGCAATCTCATCATTAGGTCTATAACTTGAGGAAATCAAGTCAGTATGCCAAAGAGATGTTTGGCTGGATATGTTAGCATACACCTGTAATCCCAGCACTTGGGAAGCAGAGACTGGATTTTCAAAAGTTTGAGGCCAAAGCTACACAGCAAGATCAGTGGGCTGGCAAGATGGCTCAGTGGGTAAAGGCACTTGCCACTAACACTGACAACCTAGTTCAGTCCTTGGGTCCCACTCCTGAAAGTCGTCCTCTGGCCTCACATACACACACACACACACACACACACACACACACACACACGTTTACATGCCTCTTACTGCATTATACACAATAGCCAAGACAATGAATCTGTCCGCCTCCTCGGTGTCCATCTTTGGGTGAAAGGATAAAGAGAAGTGTGGTATGTGTGCACAATGGAAAACTATTCAGCCTTTAAAACAGAAGGGAATATTGTCATTTGTGACAGCATGAATGAACCTAGGCTTTATAGGAAGTAAAATAAGCCAGGCACAAAAAACCCAAATACTGCATGAGTTACATGTGGAATCTCAAAAAGTCAAACAGTAAAATGACATTGCTAGGAAGTGGGTGCTGGAGAACAGGGACTGGGGCGATGTTGGGAATAAATTCAAGAGATCTGTTGTCCAACAGGATGACTATGCACAATGTATGACATACTTCAAAATTACTAAGAGATTATAACTGTTCTTGCCACAAGTGTATAAATAATGGGCAAGTAAGTATGTGGAGGTAATATATGTTAACTAGGTTGATTTAGCCTTTCTACAGTGCATCTTAAAAATTATTTTGTCACTGGGTGTGGTGGCGCACACCTGTAGTCCCAGTGCCGGTGCCAGCCGGCCAAGACGGACAGTACCTGAAAGGGGGGGTGAGGATTGAAAGAAAAAACAAGAGACAGAGAAAAGATACTTGGGAGGACTGTCAGTAGAGACTGCAGCCCTGGTTTATTTTAGCTCAGCCTTTTTATACAGTAGAACATCAGACAGCCACCATTTGCTTAGCTCAATTAGCTTCAACAGCTGTTTTTCCCACCTGTATCTCAGGGTCAAGGAGCCATCAAATACTTGTTGTGAACTCCACCATATAGACACATTCCTCCTGACTTAGCAGATTAGGTACTGGTGTGCAAAACACAAACTAAACAAGCCTGCCACAGCTCAATGTACATATGGATTAATAGCTCCCAACATCCCAGCACTTGGGAGGCAGAGGCAGGTGGATCTCTGTGAGTTCAAGGCCAGCCTGGTCTACATAGTGAGTTCCAGGACAGCTGGGGCTACAGAGAGACCCTGCTTCAAAAAAAAAAAAAGACAAAAAAATGTATTTTGTGTGTGTATAATGTACTGTGTGGACACACATGCCATGACTCTTGTGTGGAGGTCAGAAGACAGCTTGTGGAGTCAGTTCTTTCCTTCCACCTTTTTTTCCATATTTTATTTATTTTCATTTTATGTGTATGAGTGTAGTGCCTGCATGTATGTGAGTGCACCTGTGACATGCAATGCCTCAGAGGTCAGAAGAGGACTTCAGATTCCCCTGGAACTGGAGTTAAGGACAGTTTGTAGCTGCCATGTGGGTGCTGGGAATCGAACCCAGGTCCTCTGCAAGAGCAGTCAGTATTCAACCACTGAGCCATCTCTCCAGCCCCTCCTTCCACCTTTATATGTGTACATCTGTAATCCCAGCACTTAGGAGGCAGGCAGATCTCTGAGTTCTAGGCCAGCCTGGCCTACATAGCAAGTTCCAGGTCAGCCAGGGCTATACAGATCCTGTTTCAAAAAATGACCAAAAAGGGGCCAGGCATAATGACACATACCTTTAATCCCAGCACCTGGGAGGCAGAAGCAGGTGGCTCTCTGTGTGATCCAGGCCAGTCTGGTCTACATGGCAAGTTCCAGGCCAGCAGAGTGTGCTGGGTAGCTTTAGTGTCAACTTGATACACCTGGGTCAAGAGAGCCTCAATTGGGGAATTGCCTCCATAGGACTGGCCTGTTGCCATGTCTGTGGGGGCATCTTCTTGATTGTTGAGTGATGTGGGAGGGCCCAGCCCACTGTGGGTGGTGCCACCCCTGGGCAGGTGGGCCTGTGTTTAAGAAAGCAGGCTGAGCAGGGGCCAGGGAGCAAGCCAGTAAGCAGTGTTCCTCCAAGGCCTGTACTTCAGCTCCTGCCTCCAGGTTCCTGCCCTGAGTTCCTATCTTGGGCTCCCTGATGAACTGTGACCCAGGAGATGTGAGATAAATAAACCCTTTCCTCCTCAAGTTGGTATTGGTCAGAGTATTTTGTCACAGCAACAAAGAAACAAACCAGAACATAGGGTCTACAGGGAGACCCCGTATAAACATCCCCTCCAAACAGAAACAAACAAAAAGCAATCTAGAGCTAGACAATAGTTTACACCTGTAATCTCATACTTGCGAGGCAGAGGCAGGAGAACTGTCACAAGTTTGAGGCTAGTTTAGTGTATAGAGTGAATTCGAGGCCAACCAGAACTACATAGCAAAAACAGTCTAAAAACAAAAGAAAGTGAACTTAAGACTATCAAAACTAATAAATGAGCTTCTGAACACAAACGGGTTAGACTTGGTGAGGAAGGGGAATTGGATGAAGCTTTCAGTATATTTTCCCTTCTGTATAAAGATGATTTGATAGTATTGTCAACTTGACAGGCTCTAGAATCACTGAAAAGACATCAAAGACTTTGGATATGTCTGTGATTATCTAGATCAGGTTAATTGAGGTGGGAGGACCTAACTGTGGGCAGCACCATTCCACAGACAGGGTCCTGCACTGAAAGAAAATGAGAGTTAGCTATGCACACGTGTTCATTGTGCTCTGCTTCCTGTAGACTGTGGATATAATGTGACCAACTGCTTCCTGTGCCTGTCACCATACCTTCCTCGGCATGATGGACTGTATACTCTGAACTATAAACCAAAATAAACTTCATTCCTTAAGTTGCCTGTGTCAAGTATGTTATTGCAGCAACAAAGATTCTGTGTGAAAGGTGGTTGAACTTACTGAGCTGGCCATTTGCCATTTGACTTTGCCAAAGCCACTTCATCTCTCTCTCTCTCTCTCTCTCTCTCTCTCTCTCTCTCTCTCTCTCTCTCTCTCGCCAAGGATGACCATGAACTTTTTTTTAATATTTTATTTTTTTTATGTGTGTGAGTGTATTGCCTGCATGTGTGTGAGTGCACCCGTGTCATGCAGTGCTGCGGAGGTCAGAAGAGGACTTCAGATTCCCCTGGAACTGGAGTTAAGGATGGTTCGTAGCTGCTATGTGGGTGCTGGGAATTGAACCCAGGTCCTCTGCAAGAGCAGTCAGTGCTTTTAACCACTGAGCCATCTCTCCAGCCCCGACCATGAACTTCTGATCCTCCTGCCACCACCTCCATTTCCACCTCTACCTCAAGCTCCTAAATTTGGGAATTAAGCTATACTACACCCAGTTTTTTGTGGGGACTGTTTTGTTTTTTTAGCACTGATGATCAAACCCGGGGCTTGTACATGCTAGTCAAGTATTCAAGCAACTGAACTACATTCCTGGCCCCTAAACTTTCTCTATTTGAGCCTTAAATGGAAAAGACTGAAGAGGTTAAGTTTTCAAGGATCCTTTCTGTCATTTTATAAATACATGCTTTCTAGAAAAGAGGAAAAGATCTGTGTGATGTGAATACCTGTCATTCCAGCACTTGGGAGATGAGACAGACATGTGTCTCGAAAAGAAAGAGTTCAAAGTTGTCATCTACACAATGAGTTAAGACTTTATCCTGTCCTCAAAAAGAAAGAAAAGTGGATAAGGAAAAGCTTTCAACAGTAAGTGTCCAAAATGACCTTAGATGTTCAGGACTGCGGGAAGCAACAGAGGCAGTTACCACACAGTGGCTCTGGTTGGAGAGTTCTGTTCTCTTACATCTCTGCTTATAAACTGGTCAGTTATTAATAGACATCATCTCTTTTGGTGGAATCTTGCCCAAAGAGTGACAGCCAACACAAACTCATGCTGACCTCTAAACCACTTCCTTCAGAGCGCCAAGACTGATAGTCTTCTAAGTTAGCATAGATCACATTCTGCACAGAATATCCGGGAAGAGTCACCCGCCTTCCAGTTTACCATGTTCCTAAATGCCCACCAAAGTCACGCTAGAGCATAGAATCTTCCTGTTCCGCCTAAATGACCGATGCTGGGGAGATCTAATCTATTCCTTTATCTCCCACACAGCCCTCTTCTGCAGTCCAGGCCGGTCATCTAGGTTCAAACTCTGAGGATATAGTTGCTAAGAAACAAGAAGCTGGGAGGGTGCGGACACTGCACTGCGACAAGTAAAAGCCAGAGGGGAAGCAAGAGCGGGCGGCCGCGCGCACCGGCCCAAAAGCTCGCCGCTCATTGGCTGCGCCGCTGTGGTGCCAACATGCGATTGGCCGGGAGGCGCAGAGACTCCACCCTCGGCGCGGGGCGGTACGAAAGGCAGGCTTACGGGCTGGGCTCCCGCTCGGGCGCGCGTGTGCGGTGTGGGCCGCCGCAGGTGACCGGCGAGGACGGCGGTAGTGGCCGGGCGGAGGTGAGCTGAGCGCGGGGCTGGGCGGGGGCAGCGCGGCCCCCTCCCAGCGGGGCGGCCTCCTGGTTGCGGACGCCCCGGGCGGTCCCACCTCCGCCCGGCCCGCAGCCCTCTGCTGTCCCGCCCCGCTCGGGCGACGCCTTTGTCTGCCGGAGCCTCAGGCCCGCATGTGTCGAGGGTGCGGTTTTCCTCCCGAATCCGGCCTACCGCCTCGGATCGCGTCTGTCCGGGGTCAGCGAGGCTGGGCGCGAAGCCTCGTCTGGTCCGCGCGTGTGCACGGCCTGCCACCTGTCCGCCCGGCCCCGGTCTTCCCTCCTGCCCTGCCCAGGGAGGAAAGAATGTCTCCAACAACCTTTTCTGATGGCAAAATGAGAATCCTCTCTTTGTCCTGGAAGTGATTTAGATTGTCTTATTTACACATATGTATAAATCAAGATAAGGAGATAGGGCAGAAACGAGTTATGTTTAATGTATTAATACAATTTGTATGTTTTGTAAATAATATGTTCTACCGTAAATTTTTTTTAAAAATAGGATGTTTTATCATGAACTCAAGTGGCGTTAGTATTAGAATAATTTTGAGCTTCAGACGTCTTATATTTTACTTTTTTCAGTGCTGAGAATTGAACCCAGGGTCTCACACTTGCTAGGCAAGTACTTTACAGGCAGCTACATTCCAGACCCTAGACTATCTTAAGAGCCGAACAAATTATATTCAATACCACTTTCCAAATCATACTGTATGAAAAAGGGTGCGTATATTACAGTGACAAGAAGAGAACAATACTTTGTTCCCTGAAAATTAAATTGCTAAATCCAACAGAATGGGATTCCTATTTATGTTTCCAGTATAGACACTTAACTCATGCGAACTGTGGCTCTTCAACTTGGAGTGGGTTTCAAAAGGTATATTAAGTTTCTCTTAAGAGTTTGTGACTATTGATTCAGCTAACATTTTCAGCACTATCTGCTGGGATAGTGGAAAAATCAAAGACCAAAGACCCAGCCCAAGAGCTGGGTGGTGCACACCTCTAATCCTCTTGCTCTTGAGACTGAGGCAGAAGGATCATCAGTTAGAGGCCAGCCTGGACTACGAAGTAAGACCCTGCCAGAAGGGGATAAAAATGAAGTTCTATACGATCTGAACTTATGTACTAAGCAAGTGCTTTGTAGTAATTATTTAATTCCTAGAAAAATCATATGCCAATAATGGCTAAAGTAGCATGGAGAAAAATAATGGGATAAGGCATGCTGCACATTTTATGTTAGACACTGTGCTGGGTGCTTTATCATATTAATTCTTAGAATAAAGGTAGCTGTTACTTTCCTAAGCTGAAGCCCCAGTTTACATTGCCAGAAGTGGAAACGCTGGGTAAATATCCCACTCGACTCTTATTAGCAGTGCTTTGTTTTATTTTCTGTTGATCTTTATGAGCCTGTTTAATCCGAGGATCTTAGAAATGGCGATACTGCTGCTACAGAGTCTGCACTGTGTGTCAGGCAAACTTCCATCCAAAGTATCCTGAAAATGTGTGAGTTAGCTATTTTTACCTTTGTTTTTTACAGGTGAGGAAACTGAGACACAGAAATTATGTCAGCCACATAGCATCTTAATGGTAGAGCTAGAATACAGAGTTGGACAGTTTGACTTCAGGATCTGTATTCTTAACTACCACACTCTACTGCTCCTTCAGTAAGGTACGTCTCTGAAGCTACGATTTTATAGCACTTAATGTTTTGTGTTTCATGCAAACAGAAAGATTACGTTGTTGTGGCTACCTCTTGATGTCCTATGCCAATGTCTTGTGTAAACAACTACATAGAGTTACTGCATATCAACTCCAGTGTGTGTGTGTTTAATATTTTATTTATTATTTTTATTTTATGTGTATGAGTGTTATGCCTGCATGTAGGTAAGTGCACCCATGTCGTGCAGTGCCCGCAGAGGACAGAAGAGGCTGTCGGATCCCCTAGCACTGGAGTTACAGACAGTTGTTAGCTGCCATGTGGGTGCTGGGATTCGAACCTGGGTCTTCTGCATGAACAGTCAGTGTTCTTAACTGCTGAGCAATCTCTCCAAGCCCTCCCAGTGTGTGTTTTTAATGTCTCAATCCTCAGCACAACACTAGGAAGTAGGTAATTATTATATGTCATATCTCATTGGTGAGGTGTTTTTATTATCTTCAAAGTACTTTCACAAAGTAATCCCTTTGATTCTCCCCACACCATCAGTCATAAGTTTTTTAATCACCTAATTTTATTGCTGCAGTTCAAGTTTAGATGACTGACTTTGGCTGGTATGTGATGTTCAAACTTAAACCAGACTTCGGGCTTCTGGGTACACTGCTATTAGTCTGTCATCTTTGCTTTGTACTTCTTGGCTGAAAATACTCTATATTTTTCCATAGAACAGCTTATACTTGTGGATGATATTCTCAACCTGGAGTTAAATGTCACTTAACTATAAATGTGACTGGCCATAGATAGACCTTCGCCATCTTTTACTTCTATATAGTTGTGTTCCAACTTCAGCTACAGTGACTGGCACATGAGATATTAGCAAATGTTTGAATAAAATGTGTCTTATATCCATTTACATAAAAAGTGTCCTACAATATTTTAATTTTGAATAGGTAGGGTTTTTTTTTTCCTGTCATACCTCAACCATCCCCACCCCAACTCGAAAGCTGAAGCTTTCACAGTTGTTTCCTTGAAACATAAGTGCTTTGCAATTGATAAGGCTTTCCTTTCCCATTATTTCCAACACACTACTTCCCTATACCTTAGTGTTGTATAGTAAAGAAAGAGCATGAACTGAGCGAGGTGGCGCACGCCTTTAATCCTAGCACTCAGGAGGCAGAGACAGGCAGATCTCTGTGAGTTCCAGGCCAGCCTGGTCTACATAGCGGTTCCAGGCCAGCTGAGGCTACAGAGAAATCCTGTCTCAAAAAGACCGGAAAAAAAAAAAAAAGAATAGATTTGAGTTGAAGGTAGATTATTAGATCTATGACACTGTATAAATTACTTAACGTCTCTAAACCTATCTCCTTATGGAGTAAAATTGGGGAGCACTTCTGTTTTACACCTGTTAATTGGCTTATCTGCCCCTCTGTGGTTTGCCTATATTTTGGCTCTTGGTCAAAATAATACTAATATGATGTTTACATTATTCATTTTCCTGCAATATCCATTTCCAGATCAATCAGACCAGTTTTCACTTTGCTTTGGAAAACAAGGACCAAATAAGAACTTTACAAAGAGAAGTTGTTTAAAACATAAAAGCAATACTACTTCGCAGATGTGGTAGCACACACCTTTAATCCTAACACTCAGGAGGCAGAGGCAGGTGGAGCTCTGTGAGACTGAGGCCAGCCTGGTCTACAT